TCTCCGCGGAGAAACTGCGTTCTTAGAATAAAGTATCTTTCTGGGCGACCGGCGATTAACACCTCCGTCGTTGGTTGGAGTTTACCTGCCTCTCAGCACCTGAGCATGTGATGAAAGCATGCCCGAATAAATTAAGCCAATTTAGCCAGGAACAATAGAAGGTTTTTGTATGCCTAGCAGTCCGTAAATTGACAGAGATCTTCATTTAGGTTGCTTTCCGTGCTTTTTTCCTCTTTTTCCCTCATTTTTTCCTCCTAAATTTGCCAATTAGCGACGCTTCTGTTTCGAGTAAACTATCTGCTCTGTGCAGTGATTTGTATATAGATAAATTAACACGAATATGAACGGATATTGTTGTGGATTCTAATACTCTTTTACGAGGGATTCTGTTTACTTTCTTACTAATATTTTGTAAATAAATAACAGATGGGGGATTTCTGGTAAATAAATAATCATATTTTAGGCGGGTTTGAGAGGGTTATTTTGTTGGAAACTTTCAGGATTGTGTTATGGGAATAATTTTAATTTCATTGTGGTTCGTTATTTATTTTAAAAAATATTCCAAAATGACTTTTTCTGGTCTAATATTCCATATAAATCGAGGGTCTAGTGTTATCCCAGATCATTTGTTTAAAGATACCAATAAACTATCTTCAGTATATTTAATTCCATAGATCTTTTAAAACAAACTTAACCAATTTTTATATGTTTAACAAATATTTAAGGGTATTTCCTAGCCTCTGCTTTTAATTTACAACATCTCTCTTTCATTTTACATTGTATTCCATTGCAATTATCACATTTTTCGAATGCGGATTTGTTAGTTTTCTAGTTCAGACTGCGATCGCAGCGAATGTCAATGACTCGTCATTGCTATAAGCTTTTTGGATCGGAACTGCCGGTGGCTGAAGCGTTTACCGCTCTCATTTGTCAAAGCCAACTTTACTTTGTATTTTATATATATTTTTTTGCTTTTTTTTTGAGCCGCCCTCGTTGCCCATGGAGCGTTGCGTTTTTAACGCTTCTCCGTGGTATTAATTGCCCAGCTAGATCATGAAAATATATATGTGTTTGTTTGCAAAAACTAAAAGGAAAAAATTAACTACATTTAACTACATTTGTTGATGTGCATATTTGGCTTAATGTGGCATTTAAAAATGTTAATTGAAAAGAGTTATGGTAATGGAGGAAGCAGGATTGTGGGTGTTGGATACTAAAGGAAAGTGATTTATGAAAGTTTTAAGAACGCAAAAATGGGCAGGAGTTGCATGAGTGAAGTTAAAATAGATTATTTTAAGATTTATTAATTGGATAAATGAAATAAAACTATTAAATACCTAATGAAGAAAAGAGTACTATTATTTACTATATAGACTGTCATTAAATTATAGAGTGTGTACTGGACAATAAATTAATATGATTATCATATCATTTTTTAATTGATAAATTAGTTATTTTAATAGGAAACATAAAAACAATTATTTACATTACATTTAAGCTAAACCTTCTTTAATCAATCAAGCTGAATTTCTTTTTCTTAAGAAACTCATCTGTATTTCTATTAAATATCTTTTAAATCTTTGTTCAAGAAAGTTTTACAAAAACCAAAATATAATTTGAACACAGCCTCAAAAAAATAGTTTTATCAACTCAAAGCTTGGTAAATTACAATTCAAGCATCTAATAATATATCCTTAATCATCAATGCATATAAAAATGTCTCTTCAATTAGTTTCTTCATAACTTGACTTGAAAATTAACCTCACTTTGTTTTTAAGAACATACTACATCATGATTATTATTTGGGGGTTTTGTGACTGTTTCTTTGTGGCGCTATAACTCTTCCGGATCTTTCTTGAGTATATCTCACCTTTATCTTTATCTTCACCTTTGGTTGTTTACTTTTGTTCTCCTCCTCATCTTCAGGACAAAGCACACCCAAAGTACAAAATAATGCCCAAGGCTTTCGCACCCAAGTGCCAGATTCGAGAAGTCTCTTGGCCACAAGAAAGCCCCCAAAGTCAAAGCCCTGGCTTAAAGATACGCCAAAAGGGAGACAGAGACACATAATGAGATTTTGTACCGGGTTGATTTTTTCGAAATTCTCAAACAATGGTGGCAGCTTTTTTCGCCTTGTATATATTTTATTTTTTTATTTTCATTGCACATCCACTTAGCAGTTGAAGATGTTCAAAATGAGATAACACGTTACATTCGGGGATGGGTTTTATTTTTTGGATGAGCTTTGCTCCGACGACAAAGCTGAGAAAATTAAGGAAAAATTGTTTCAAATGCAGCAGATTATGCCGCTCGTAATGATGGTGGGGGGCCAGACGGAGTGAGGAAGGTTATTGTGGGGCGCCACAAATTAATTTGCACCTTTCGCCTCTGCCGCTGAGCTGCAGCAGCAACTCTGGCGTTGACGTCGACAGCTGTCGTGGCAGCGCCAGGTGAAAGTTGCACATGCAAATTCACAAAAGAAAAAGAAAAACATTGAGAGTTGCCCGGGAACGAGAGGAAAATTTAATAATTAAAAAAAATAAGGGATATACTAGATTTTCCATTAAATTGGGTTTCAAGTTCTATAAGGAATTGACCTGTGGCAAACTGTTCAAGTTATGATTGAAATTAAATTAAGAAGATTATAAATAAGATAATTATAGAGACCATTCATGCTTTATGTACATATTTATGTATAAAGACTTCAATGCAATTTATCTATAATTAATTATACAACTAATATAAGTTATACAAATAAGTACTTATATAATATGTTTAAATTTCTCCCAAAGATATAAACCTCCAACGTTGTTGAGCCTTTTATTACTATCTGTTTTTATTTCTTGAATCAAATTGTGCAAAAGAAATATAAGCAATTAAGTTAATTAAAAATGACTAAATATTTATATGAGCAGTTTTTGGGTTAACTGCTAGTGTGACATTCGTAAATTAAAAGCAAAACAAGCCTCTACAATACTTTGTATACATCCATCACATGATTCACGCCTTTTAACAATTTTTAAACGTGTTAAAAGTGATTTTTTTTTGTCCCTTGACTAAGTAATAAATTGTATAATAGTAAGATTAAAAATTCCCCTAGGAAAAGCTTAAATTTATTAGCCATAATAAATTTACTAAAATAATACCTTGAACGTGGTGTGATCTGATTTATAACTTGAAAGATCGAACATTTAAGGTCAAAAAGGAATCCCGTTTTTGTGATCAAATATTTGAATTTCTTTATTAGTGTTTAACATATGATTTATTTATTTTTTAAGTAATATTGGTATTCTCTGTTATCTTGTCTCAGTGTAAGTAAGTAGTGAAATCATAAACGTGACTGAAAAAGTTCAACATTCAGAGCAAAACCTTCAGGCAATCTCTTCCTTTTTGGGATGTCTTTGGAAAAACCCCGGAGGAAAGCCTTTTGCTTAGCTTTTCCGTAAAGCAATGTCATAATATCTTCGGCTCGATGGTTATTCCCCCGTTTCGCTTCACTTAAATGCTGGCTTATTACACATTTCTGTGCATCTCTTCGTATTTATGTTTGGCGGGCAACAATCACCGCTATTGTAATTTTGTCATTTATTTGCTTTTCGCATTTGAGTGAGGAAGCGGAAATAAGTGCACTTGTGCAGCAGTAAAGTGCATTTGGGTGTTTGATTGCATTTCGCACAGTTATGGGGAATCCCTCGAGCATGTAAAAAAGGCCGTTGTTAAGTTCAAAATGTTACAAAGTTTCAAATGCTGTAACGCCTTTAAAGGGTTTGCAGACTCTGGCCGTAAAGGATACATTATCGATATTTGTTTTCTAAAATAAATTAAAGTTTTGCAAACCTTTTCCTTCCTTCCTTTTTCGGTAGGAAGTTTTCGAATACTTGGCCCACAAGCTCAAGAAAACATACCTTAACTCCTGGAGTTTATTTATTGTTAAAAAAAAACAGGTGGACAGACCCAGAAATGAGTCCCGATAATGGTTGAAAAAGCCAGGTGGACAGACCCAGAAAGTTTAAAGCGATTAATATCAAATTAATACTTTATGTCATTCATGCAAACGCAGCCAACTTCACTCTTGTCAGGATTGCATTTTCTTTCTGGTAAGTTCTCAAGGGGTTTTCGTTTCCTTAAACTTATTTTAATCCACTATCGAGTTCCGATAAGTGTTGTTACTTCTGTTCCTGGAACTGAAGAACTCTATCCTTTAGCCGCCTGGTGATTAAGAACGTTGTTTTTGAGAATCCCAGGAAGTTCTTGACTGTGGATTTTAAGGTTAACACCAACAAGCCTCATTTGTTTTTTTGTGCGCCCCAATACCGGGGTTATGAGCCCTGGCGAGGTCACCATGGACGTCTTTCTGATCCCTATTGTTCAGAATAATGGCCAGAATTGTCCCATGCTTCTCATCCAGGCAGCCGTTATCTATGGAGAGCTATGGATCTAACAGCTAAAAATTCAAATTTCACAAAAATCGCGCCTCTGCGTTGACATAGCACAGAAATGGTCACACTTAATATTATAATTTAGTATACTAACGTTGCCTAACTGTGCACGGAAAAATGCGCTTTTCTCATACTTGGTACTTCCAACACTTTTTTTTATGATTTCGGCTTCTCTCTTCGCATGTCTTGATTTTTCATAGGGAACTGATTAAAAACACTTATTAACGAGCATTGAAACATATTTAATCGGCATTAATTCAAAGGTTTGAACCATTTTATAACAGTTAGTATCGATTTTTTCCCAATCAGATGTTGTTATACGATATTATTGTATAGATTTTTCGAAGAGGAAAATTAAGCTGCTATCGTACATTTATTTTACAATAAAATAGTATTAATATTATAATAATTTATACATAACAGTAATGTTCATTCAAAATAATTAAATAATAGTGCGACATTTAAAAAAACATCGATAGCATCTCTACCAAAAGTATCGCATATAAAGTTTAGGTAAATTCTAATCGATATGCAGACAATCGATAGCTTTTACAATTTTACCATGATAGAATTATAAAAGGTAGTCTCGTCGGCAAAAACATAACAATGAGGGCGAGGGGAGAACGAAATGCACGTCAGTTTGTATAATTTATATCGTGCAACAGACGACGACGACGACGACCGCTCGCTCCCGCCCATCGATCCGGCGACTAGGAGCGAGGAAAAGGCGTGGAAAATCAACGCGGCGCCGCCATTGAGAAAGAAAGCGTGTGCTCCCAAACAAAAAAGGGGGAGAGGAGAAGAACAAGCGACACACACACAGAAGTAGAGAGTGAGAGAGAAAGAGAGGGAGAAAAACCGATTCGAGGTCGCCGGATGCAAAGATGTCGCACTCAGGAGGAGCAGCAGCAGCAGCACCAGAAGCCGCAACTGGCGGAGGTGCATCATCTGACCTGGACGTAGATGACACGGCGATGCAGCCGCCGCCACCAGAGGCACTGCAGGACGGGGACACAAGCAACAGCCTGGAACCGGGCGAGGTGGTGACCCCGCCGCACAACCATCTCCCATCCAGTCCTGCTTTTAAGAAGCAAATGCCGCTGAGCAAAACCCTGCGCAAGACGCTAAACAGTCACAGCCACATCCAGGATACCGATGGTTGCGAGGAGCAGGTGCGAGCCCTGTATGAGATGTCTCGAAAAGAGAATGGAGCGGAGGAAGCGCCCATGGACGAGGCCGATGACAGTGAGGGTCTCTACTCGGACACGGACTCTTCGGTGGAAGATTTCAAGAGCGTGGAGGATGTGCAGCAAGCGAGGAAAGAGAAGCAAGCGGAGGCGGCGGCTGCCGCAGCTTTGCCACAAGCGCCGCCCACGCCGTTTCTTGGCCTGAGCCCCCTGAGATTCCATATGCGACCTCCGCCATCCTGTTTCGACTTCCCGCGCATGGGCTTTATGCCCCGAATGGGCAGGGGAGGACCGCGAGGCATGCGACCACCATTCTTTGGTCGCCCACCAGTACAGAATCGCATGGGATCATCAGCCATGATGGGTGGACAATCGACGGTGGGGCCGGGCACAGCTCCAGGTGGAGCAGGAAGTCAAGGTAACAATCCTGGACGCCATAAGCGGCCCCAATCAGATCTAAGGTAAGAGTGCTGTCGCATAGTTACATAAGAGATCGATAGATATCATGTTTTTCATTTTAGCTGGACAACGTCGCAACCCGCTGTGTCCTTTACCTTCAATCTGATTCCCGAGTGCTCCAGTGCCAAGCATAAGGAATGCAGACAAAAAGCGGAGAGTACAACTTCTGCCAAATCAAAAGATCAACCCGCCAGCGAAGAGAAGAATGCTACAGAACAATCGGATCCTTTGAGGGAAAAGACCAGGGAAGAATCGCACCAGAATATATCAGCCAGGGATAAGAGCATGGACAGATCAAAGGAGAGAGATGAAAACAGAGGAAAGACAAGGGAGAAATCCCAGCCACGGGATTTAAAGAGAGGTTCTCCTGAACGACCTAGGGAGAAATCAAAGGACAGAGATTTAAACAGAGGCAAGACAAGAGAAAGATCAAAGGAGAAGGAGTTTAACAGAGGAAAGATAAGAGAAACATCTCCACATAAGAAACCCAGAGGAAAATCGCGGGAAAGAGATTCAAGCAAAGGGAGAACTCGAGAACGATCCAGGCCAAGAGATCAAGATCGAGGGAAAACAAGGGAGAACAGCAGGGAGCGTGATCAAACAAGAGCGAAACCCGTCTCTGAGAAGACTCGAGAGAAAGAGAGAAAAATATCCCAGGAGAGAACTAAAAAGAGGGGAACAACTCGAGAACGTTCGAGGGAGAAAGATCGCACTAGGATGGAGACTACGGATCGGTGCAGATCTAACGAAAAGCTTATTGACAAATTCCTGGATCGCAAAGAGAGGCACAGGGATATATCTAAAGAGACAGGAAATGAGAAGCCAAGGGATAAATCCACAGAAACTCTTGACAAGTTGGATAAAATTATGGATAAATCCAAGGAAAAGCGGCATGAACAATCTAGAGAACATCGCAGCGAAAAGTCCAACGAAAATCCCCGCGAACGATCCCGAAGAAATTCCAGGGAGAGAATCCACGATAAATCCCCAGAAAGAGTTCAACAGGAGCAGAAAGATAATTTTAGGGACAAAAAAGAAAGCACTATAGAACCCCCAAAGGACAGGCTCTCACAGAAATTTGCCGATCGAAGACGCGAACGTTCCCGAGACAAGGAGAGAGAGCGTTCTAGGGACAGGTACTCAAAGGAAAAATTCCAAGAACATTTGAAGGAGAAGCCTAGGCATACCAAGCATGATAAGTCAAGGGATCACTCAAGGGAGAAGGAAAGCCGGTCCAGAAGAGCACCCACTCCTCACGATTCTTTTGGAGATGCGAGTCACAGAAGGAGTGAGGCTAGTTCCGCTTGGGCAGGCAAGGAGGGTACACCTCCAATGACGCCACCGCATCAGCGGGCTCAGACTCCGCCAGCCAGTGACACTCCCAAGACCAAGGTCTACGATATTTTCGCAGACTCACCGCCAAGACAACAGAACACTGCCGTTGCAGCTGCCACAGCTGTGATAAACGAAAGAAGCACCACGCCACCATTGAAGGTGGCACCAGTGGCTACACCTATTGCTCCAATACCTGCCAGACCCGCCAAGTTGACGCCACTGCTCAAGGCCAGTGAGATTCACAGCAGGATTGGAGCCCTGCTCGAGGATGATGATAATGATTTGCACTTGGAGGCTCTGCTGGCCACCAAGGAGCGGCTATTCCGTCGCACCAACGAGTACAAGGAGCGGAAAGAGGCACCCAAGGAGATTAAGGCGGAAAAACAAGTGGAGCAGCGACGATACGTGAATCCCTTTAACCGCGAATCAGTATTAAGCAGCGGGAGGAAATCCTACTCGTACCAAAGGAACGGCAGTCGTTGCTCCAGCGAAAGCGAAGAAAACTGGGACAAAGATGAGGAATCATTGCCGAGTCGGAGAGGCGATATCAGCATTAAGATTGAAAAGGATCTAACACCACCACCGCCGCAAAGAACGTTTGGTGTAACCCGCATTAAGGTTGAACGCAATGCAACACCGCCAAGGATATCATCGGATCGGAATCGGGATCGGGATAGGGAGGTGTTGGTGAGGAATGGAGCAGTGGCAGCCAATGCCCCACCGCCGGCGACCAATGAGCAGGAAAGCCCAGATACAGATGACTATATCGATAACTGGGAGAATGATGATTCAATATCCAGCATGCCAAAGAATGCTGCTCCTGCCACACCAACTGTTCCTGCTCCTGCTACAGCTCCCAATCATAATGCTCCAATAAACATCACACCACTTCCACCGCCTGCTGCCCAATTCAATGATGACGACGATGAGTACGAAGACGATTCGAATGCCCTGTGGAATGCTAATAGCACACCACCACCCCGGGCCAAGGCGACCAATCTGCCAATGAGCAATATTCATGAGTTGTACGATAAGTTTATGAACAGCATTGACATGGGCAGCGCAGAGATGGGAGAAGATACCTCGAAAAACAGTTCCTTGAGCAATTCCACTGCCGAAGACAGTTCCTCGGGCTCCGATTCTGGTTCATCAACCAGCAGCAGTAGCAGCGACTCTGATTCCAGTTCGGAGGAGGAAGAGGATGGCAATGAAAACACTTCGGGTGATGAGTCCCCTTCAGCAACAGGCGCTTCCAAGTCCAATTCAGAAGATCAGCCTGGCAAAGAACATCAGCAAAAGAAGAATAATGTCAGCAAAGACTTGCGGAAACTCAAAAGTCTTGAGGATAATCTGTCCAGGATTCAAATGATGCGCGAGAACTACGATGCTGGCGATGAGATCTCCGAGGAGCTGCTCAAAATGGAATCCTTGTTTCTCATGCAACGCAATGCCATCATGGACAAGTACCGAAAGCAGGAGCTCAAGAGCAACTCCAGTGAAGATCACCAACAGCAGCAGCAGCAGCAAATGGAAGCTCCACAAATGGAACCACAAGTTAAACAAGGCTCTCCTGCTCCTGTAAATAGTATCTTTGATGCCAATCGAGGGGCCATCAAGATGACCATTTCGCGGCTAAAACTGACGAGTAAATCTGCGATTTTCGACAAGGATGAAACGGACCAGCAGCCAGCTCCAAACAAATTGTCGGTAGAGACACATAAACCAACACTAACGCTGCCTTTGCCATCACAAAAGCCGCCAAAGGAGGTGGCCATTGTGAAGCCCACAATTGTGGAATCCCGAACGAAGCCCAGGGTTTTGAGGAGTCCGCCACCGCCGGGTAATCGTCGCAGATCTCGTTCCCGTTCCATCTCCCGAAATAAATCCAAGCGTCGAAGTCTGAGGACAAACTCTCGTTCACCGAGTCCAAAGCGCTGGCGTCCTCCATCACCCAGAAGAGGTTCGAGATTTGGCAAGAGGAACAGCGGAGGATCAGCAGCAGGAACCAAAATGGGTAGAAGCCACAGTCGGAGTCTGACACGAAGTAGAACGCGCAGCAGAAGTCCAAATCGTCGAAGACGTCCACCTTCATCTGCGGGTAGCCGAAGACGTGGATCCCTTTCTCCTGGACCAATGAAAATTGGCGGGCCCCGTTCACCACCTCATCCGCGCCTCCGACGATCTCTGACCCGGGAAAGAGAACGAGAACGGGAGAGGGATCGACGCTCACGCTCACCACTGCCATTTAAGCCACCCTCACCACCCATGCGACGCAGTTGGTCACATTCCCGCTCACCAACCCGAAGGAGAACCCGCTCCCGATCTAGATCGCCACGATTCCGATCGCCCAGAGATGGAGGCCAAAGCTTTGCCGACTATTTCGGAGAGAATCAAAACATGGAAGCGGCTGCCTACTACTACAACATGTCGCTGATGCAACAGGAGTATCAGGATCCCACGGGAACGGGATACGATACATATGCCGCGTACATGGATTCCGCATACAATATGGAGCAGGCCTATGCCCAGTTTACGGAGGGTTATGCGCAAATGTATGGTGATTATCCGGGTGAAATGGACAGTAGCATCTCTCCTCAGCTTATGGGATCATCGGTGCTCAGGGAACTGCCGATGGCTCCTGTTATACCGGTGGCTGTGCAAAAGGGCAATGTGTTGGAGATTGTACCCACAGGCGAGGATATGGTGGTGCAGAATGTAAGCCACATGCCAATGGCAGCGGAGGAACCAATGGAGGATGAAAGGTGAGTTTAATAATAGTGGAATTTAAGGAACTTTATAAATATATTTTCCCTTTTTCCTGCACAGCAAACCCAAGCGAAAGCGTGTAAACTTTGTGGATAATGTGCTGCCGAACTATGAGAGTGACAGCGAGGATCGGGCGATTGTAACGATGGCGGTGGAACGTGCTCTATGCCAACATCAAGAACGTCGCTCTCGTGCCGCCGCCAGACTCCAACAGATTCGCGATGAGCTGCTCGCATTACCACCACCACCTCCGCCTCTTGCACCGAAACCCGCCAATCTGGAGAAGCCCGTGTTGGTCCAAAAGAAACCCAAATTCCGCTTCTTCCACTTTGATCCCTTCAAGGGAGCCATTGTGAAAACTCATTCACGGATACTGCGACCCAACATCCGCCCTCCATTCGATCCCAAGCACTTTGCCATGCTGATAAAGACGGGACGATTGCCCCCATTCCCTCCGAGCTTCATGCGGCATCGTCCGCCAAATATTCCACCCCATGTGGATCCTGCCACCAAGGCGGCAATGTTTAAGGAGTTCTTTAGCAAACATCCCCCGCCACCGATACAGATGCCCATGACCATGCCCGATGGGATGCCCTATTACCTGAGTGGACCACCGCCAATGCCAGCTGGAGCGGCACTGTCACCAGTGCCGCAACCCATTCCGGTGCTCGGTAGTCATGGCTATCAGGGCTATGCCCATCCATCGCCAGTTCCGGTACCTGTTCCTGTGCCTCCTGTAGCTGTGCCACCGCTTGCAGTATCAGTTCCTGCACCAGCTGCCTCAACGCCGCCACCGGCGAGGATAGCTCCCTTCTTTACACCGCCACCGTTGCCTGAGTTGCTACCAATATTACCCGACCTGCCCACTAAGTTTACGGTGAAATCTGTGCCCACAATCACAGAGATAATGCCAGTGGATATACTGCAGCAATTGGGACCATTACCGAAGACCTTGGATGTGGATGACGGTGGAGGGATGGGGAGTCCAGAGCTAGATAGCAACGATCTCAAGGAGATCGATGCTGAAGCCGAGCTTGAGGCAGGAAATAACATTGGGGAACAACAGTCAGGGATAGGGGAGGCCAAGACCCAGCTGCTTATGGAGACCCAGTAAAAGTCCCTTCTTTAGTTGGATTTTTTTTATAGGCAATTAATTTTATAATAGATAATTTTCATTATAAACACTCCAATTGATTCACATTGATTACGTATACCTTTTGAATATTTTTTTCAAATTTAATTAGTTTCCATTATTTGACAAACTTTGTGAACAAATCGCATTTACAAATATAGAAATCGTTTTAGGTTTTATACGCTCTAGGCTTATATGTCATTTACACATTATAATGTTCGACTTGATTTCTACAAGAAAATAAAAATGTAAATAGTTCGCGTTTTGGCTTAAGAAATATACATGAATTAGCATAAACATTACATTAAATTATACATATGAATATTCTGAGTCATTACTTAGTCTAATGCAATTATATTCGAATTAAATCTAATATTACAAGAATTGTATGTGTGTGTTGAGTGTTGCGTGTGAATGTGAGATGTGTTTACAAAATACATAATGTCTTTTGAGTCCATAAAAAAGTATATAATTTCACTTTTATTCCATTTCAAATAGTTTAACTATTTCGTTCTACTTTCTCGATGAACATTTTGTAAAAAATCAATATCAATTTGATATAGCGACAGCTTCTTAAACTTAATTATAAGTGAATGAATGGACGATTTGTTTTTTTCCTTAAATTAATTGAAAAATTTTATGTAATATTATATCTTAGACCTTTGCCCTGGGTGTCAGAACCAAAGGAAAACACTTGGCTGGCAGGGCCAGGCTCTCTGGACTTATCTTAATCGTGGTTGGATCATGACTGCTAACATCATATCGCTGTAGAATGTTGGCCAGAATGAGGAAACCAAATCCCCGCACTAGATTCTGGCCAATACAGGTCCTTTTGCCAATGCTAAAGGGTAGAAAGTGTGGAATATTCTTCCTTAGCTGAAGTTTCTCCGTATCACTTTCGAAGCCCGAATCCGAACCTGAACCCTTTGTGGAACTTTTTCTGTGAGATTTCTCTAGAAATCTTTGTGGATTAAACTCTTGAGGATTGACCCAGTTCTTTTCGCTGGTATTAAGCACATAATTGTTGATAAAGACCAGAGTGCCCTTGGTTACACCATAGCCAGAGATCACTGCATCCTCGGTGGTTACATGGGGTACAATGGGTGAGGAGGAATACCGGAGCACTTCGAATATAGTGGCCATTGTAAAAGGCATTTCGTTCATATCCATTAAACTGATGTGTTGCTTCTCCTCCGAAGTTAGACCATCAATTTCCTCCTGGATTCTCTTGCCTATATCCTGATCCCTGGCTATATAGGCCAGCACTAGCATTACGAGATTTCCCACAGCCGAATGGCCACCAACAAAATCCTCCAGCATGAAGATTATGGTATTCCGTGAGACCTCCTTATCCTCAACGATGCTCTTGAGCAAGGCATCCGTGAAATCCCTATCCGGTTCATCCAAATCAATGTTCAGTTCCCTGTGGCAAATGATACGATCCAATATGAACTTCCGGATGGTCGTGGACCAGTTGGTAATCTTGTTGAGATGCCGCTGATAGAAGGGATATAGCCAGGGTAGGAAATCCAAAGGATGTCCTTGGTTAATCTCCCAAAAGATCTCGTCAAAGTACTGGACAATCTGTTGGAACTCTTTATCCTGGTAATCAAATCTCAGGGAGCACATATACTGACTGAACATATTGGCACATGCCTTGAGGATTAGTGACTTGATTTCCAAGGGTTCTCCAGCAACAAGCTGTTCCCTTAGCTCCTGATTCCAATGCTCCATTTCGGCACAACCGATTTCGGACATTTTCACATAGAACGAGGAGGATTCCCTTGGCGAACAGTGGCGACGTGCAAGATTCCTTCGCTTCTGCTGGAGTTGCGACCAATCGCAGAGAGCCAAAGAATTACTCCGCTCACCACCGAAGAGTTTATGATATCGCAGAAAATCCGGACGTCCACTCATCACTTTGCCATTCTGGTTTAAGACCTCACGGATTAGCTCCAGATTGTTAACCACCAGGCAGCGGGTATGCCCAAAGGTTAGCGAATAAATGTCACCAAATTGCTTGGACAACTCCGTGAAGCCCGCAAATGGAGTGTCCCTGTAACGATCCAACAGATGAAGGTTGCCAATGATGGGCCAAGGACGTGGTCCTGGAGCTTGGCTGTATTTCTTCACCATTTGATTTGATTGTCCCATGGAATGGGATTGATTAACCCGCCGTTGGGCACCATAAAAAATGCGCACGTAAGACGTAATGACCACACTTATTAAAATGCCTAAAACGGTATAAGCCACAGCAGTTACAGTCGCGAACATTTTCGCTTAGTTGTTGAAAGTAGAGAATGCAAAATGCAACTGACGATGGTCAGCAAAATCAATTAGCAGGTAACCTCAGGCTTCGGGAAATCACTTTCCCATTTTGTGGGGTGAGGACTTACCTGTGGAGTGGGCCGTAGACTTGCTACCTGATTTTGTTTTGGTTGTTAAGAAGGTCTTTATGGGTCTCACTCTCTCTCTCCCTGCTCTTCCCTTTTCCGCTTAGAGGTCAGCATGAATATTCAAGTTCGACCAGGCCAAAAGAGCCATTTGCAAATATTGCATTTTCATTATATTTTAATTCTTTTTGGAGAACCAAATTTTATGATCCCAGAGTGACCTATTTTGAAATTGAGCTGAATTGACGGTATTTTTTGTTTGAAGATGTATGAAATGTATAATATAGTAATTAAAAACTATATTTTAAATGAGGATTTTGTTAGTTATTCTTAGGTAAAGTAGTTGTTTATAAGTTCTGACTTTAAATAGACGTTATTTTCTCTCATTTATATTATAATATTAGCGTTTAATGTTTCCCCTACATAAGTCTTCTTTATTTACAACCCATTTTTCGGATTTTTGAATATATCTTCTATAATTTTCCCTTAATTTTAAGTATATACACTCCTTTGGGAGTTCATCTTAAACTACACTCTCTTTATTTATTGAGTATTCCTTATGAGTTTACGAGACTTTACTCATCCAGTTTGTCTTTGGCAAAGGGTCCCATATTGGCTGCATATGCCATCAGGGCTGGAATGGAGCTCTGCTCGTAATTTCCCGTAAAGAGATGCTCGAAGGGACCAGAGGCAAAGACACCCACATCCTCGGCACCATGGGTTTCGCTACTCAAAGGGACCGTGGCCTGGAATTCAAAGTCCTCCTTGGTGGTGTCCACACGTGAGAGATCAATGCGACCGGTATCTGTGCTGTAGGTATCCGTAAAACCAGGACCATTGGCATAGGACAGAATAGTGAAGGGCAGCTCGTCATCAGCCAGGTTGGGAGCCAAGGATAGGATGTTCTGACGACGGTACTATAAGTAGAATTTTATAATGTTTATTATTTAAATTCCAAATTAAAATTCATTTATATTTAAGAATGGATTCATAGCTAGAATTACTCACCGGATATCCATTAATGGACATGGTGTGCGAATGATCTGAAGTCACCACAATTAGAGTATCCTCTTCGCTGGTCATTTTCCTGGCCATTTCCACGGCCGCGGCAAACTCTTGGGTATCCTCCAGAGCCTTCCTGGCCTTGGTGTCATGGTGGGCCATATCAATTCTGCCACTCTCCACAAACAGGAAGTAACCCTTCTCATTTCTGCTCAGCATCTTGATGGCCGCCTCGGTCATGTCAGAGAGCGAAGGTTCAGCCTCTTCGTAGTGGGTTCTCTGACGATCGCCATGATATGGCAAATGTGAAGTCTCAAAGAGCCCGAGAAGGTAATCCGTCTTGCTGAGATCCGTCTCCCTCAGACCCTTGAGTGACCACACATATTTGCCCTCGACTCCTTGTTGCTCCTTGATCTCTTGCCAATCCTTGATCAGATCCCTACCATCGGATCGAACACCCGAAACTCCCACCTCATCGTGCATTGACTTATCTCGGAAATTCACTCGACCGCCGCCCATGATCACCCGAAGTTCCTGACCCACTGGCCACTCCACCAACTGACGGGCAATGTCCGTGTTGAGTTCGGGACTGCAGTTGGAATCGATGATCTCACCATCGAATTCCCAATTCCTATCAGCAATATGAGCATAAGCTCCAGCTGGCGAGGCATGGGTTACCCTGGCAGTGGTCACAATACCCGCCCACTTGCCCGCCTCCTGAGCCCACTGGGCAATGCTCTGAGTGTGTGTACTGACATTTGTGGCAGCCACACAGTCACCACGTTTCACCTGAGCATTGACACCGATGGTGCCATAGTTGGCCTTCACACCGTTTAAGTATGCAGTGGCTGTATTGGCTGAATCCGGAGTCCTTTCATCCACCGCGTACGTCTTGGACAGACCCAAGTAGGGGAACTTCTCAAAGGACACCTGCTTGTTGCTATCACCCATAAAGTCACGAGTGGCTGCAATTGTGTGAATGGACATGCCATCGCCCATGAACAAGATCACATTCTTGGCACGGTTCTCGTTCAGCTTCTGAAGTCCGGCCAACTTATCGGCCAGAATCGATTGGGCCTTATCGTGCCAGAAACGTGTTTCCAGCTCCTCATCAAGGGCCACAAAGTCGCGTGAGGCTAGCAGCCGGGGATGATGTTCTGTAAAATCCGGACTTTGGGTTAGCAACTAATCAGCAATTAAATGGGGAAATTTTTTTGGTCTAATAAAACTACCAATTCAAGTAGTAAACATGTTTTCTGGCGGTAATTTCTTTGATTAAATCTATAAATCAGTTTTAATTATAGCCATTTATTAGGGTCGCGTTTAACATCTAATCGGTGAAGAAATCGCACCTGATTAAATAATAATAAAACGTGCGGAAAACGTTTATTTAAAGTTGCGATTAAGTGAATAATTTCATCAGACAGAAACGTAAGCAATTAGGTTTGCAAAAAAATATGTATTATATATAATAATTCTACGGTTTTTTTTGTTGCTTTACTTATTTATGTATAATTAATGCTTAACTTTTTGTATTATTTCAGATATTTTAAATATTAACTTCAGTTAAAGAAGTCAAAATTCCTAGTCCGAAGGTAAAGGAAAGTATTAGGTAAGTATTTTATAAATACATTTATTTTTTCCTAGATCTAATCGAAACTTACTAAACCATAAATTAAATGTGCATTAAATCGTTATATATTCGGTACCATATAATATTTTATATTTTATTTAATGCCATATTTTAACCTTGTATGGTACAAGAATATTGTGACCTATTTTTTTTTAAATTTTCTTTATTTATTCTTTTATTTTTGGCCTCTAAGTAAAGTGTTTCGGAAATTAATTGAAGGTGTTCTTTTCAATAGGTTTGATTTATATTTAAAGTTATAAAATGAAGATAGAAATATGAAGAAAAAAACAGAACAAGAACAGATTGTTGTTATAAATAATAATATAATTTAAAATCAGTCTCTTTTACTACTCTTTTATCTATGAAATAAAACAAATATTAGCTTAAATAATTCCTAAACCCTTTCAATAGCTGTCCCCTGATAGCTAATAATTCCTGTTCACGTGAACACTGGAATCATAAATTCTTATAGACCGCCCCATGACTGAACCTTTTCAGAAATAAATCTAGATTAGGAAGCTTAATGAGTTAACAAAGATTTGTGATAAAGGCAAGGCACTTGGACTCCTCCAATTGGTTGGAGATAAGCCAAGTGGAGGCTCCAAGACGATTCCGATTCGTTCGAACTCTCTCATCGTTATTCGTGATTCGTACTCACCTTTCTCCGGCTGATCGGTTAGTTCACCCCGAACCTGGAGGAACAGGAGAGCCAAGAAAGAGCACAAGATTAAGGCACTACAATTGGTTCTCATTTTTGAAACTTTAAAATGAGAATTACTCCGGTTGAAAGCTACCTCGAGACTGGCTAAATTAGACGTTTTGGACGGGTTATATAGCCTCCTGTAATATACCTACGTATAGGGTTTGTGTTTTTGTGATTTCATGTGCAATCTAAAGTGGGGGATCGATTAATTATCTCGAGTGCTAATGCCGGGAAACGTGAGTATCACGGTCTGGCCAAAAGGAGGGGCCATAAATTGCCCTATCGACTCCTCGCCCGAGCTGCACCTGATCGAATCGTTGGGTATATTAATGCCCGGCTATGTGACTATGGAGTACAGTATCCAACTAGCTGCCGGAGTGAAAACATTTGCGAGAATGTCAACTCTCAAGTTCCTAATTGGCCTAAGTCTCCTTGCCCTGGCATGGAGTGCCGCTGTTCCGGGCAAGGCACCCGTGGACGAGGAGCGGATGCATCCTCATCTGCCAAGCAGTCCGCGACTTCGCATGGTTTCTGGAGAGGAAACCTCCGAGTACTGGCTCTCGGCCAGCAAGAAGCTGATTCGTGAAAAACTAAACTTTGTGAGGAACACAAACAAAGCCAAGAATGTCATCCTCTTCCTGGGCGATGGCATGGGATTGGCTACCTTGGCTGCAGCTAGAAGTTACATTGGCGGCGAGGAACTGAAGCTATCCTTTGAGGAGTTCCCCTTCACGGGTCTGTCCAAGACGTATTCCGTGGATAAAATTGTGCCAGACAGTGCTTGTACCTCCACCTCGTACCTGTGCGGAGTGAAAGCCAACTATGGAACCATTGGTGTCAATGCTCACGTGAAGAGAGGTGACTGCCTGGCCATGGCCAATGAAACGAATCATGTTTTCTCCCTGGGCAAGTGGGCCATGGATGCGGGAAAAGCTGCCGGTTTGGTGACCACCACTCGTGTTACTCATGCCTCTCCAGCGGGAATCTATGCCCATGTTGCGGATCGTGAGTGGGAGAATAATGCCGTCTTGGAGGAAGCCTGCGGTGAGCAAGCTGAGGGTCTGGAGGACATTGCCGTCCAACTCATCCATGGTGAAGTGGGCAGCAAGCTGAAGGTGATGCTAGGCGGTGGCAAACGAAGCTTCTACAGTCCGGAGCATTATGACAATGGCCGACGCACCGATGGGCGCAATCTTGTTGAGGAATTCGAGACTCTGGATAAGGGCAACACATTTGTGAAGACACAAAAGAAGCTGCTTAATGTGAATGCCACCGAAACCGGAAGATTGCTGGGTTTGTTTAGCAAGAGTCACATGCACTACCATGTGGAGCAGCTAGCGGATCCGGATAACAATGAACCCACTTTGGAGGAGATGACCGAGAAGGCCATTGAGGTCCTACAGACCGAGGAGCAGGGATACTTCCTCTTCGTTGAAGGTGGCAAGATTGATATTAGTCATCACGATACCATGGCTAGGATTGCCTTGGACGAGACAGCGGAGCTATCGAAGGCGGTGAGGAAAGCCAGGGAGATGACTAATCCAGAGGATACCCTCATTGTGGTCACCTCCGATCATTCGCACACATTCAGTGTGGCTGGATATCAACCTCGTGGCAGCGACATCTTTGGACCCTCCAATCGGAAGGGTAAAGATGGAAAACCCTACATGGCATTGAGCTATGCCAATGGCAAGAGTTTCGAGGATTACTACGACACGGAGACGCATGAGCGTAAGGATCCCACCACTCTGTCCACGATTGGGGACATGGATCAGCTATTTCCGGCAATGGTGCCCCTGGAATCGGAGACACATGGCGGCGAGGATGTCGGGGTATTCGCCTCCGGTCCTTGGGCTCATCTTTTCACCGGAGTCTATGAGCAAAACACCATTCCCCATATCATGGCCTTTGCTGCCTGTGTGGGCGATGGTTTAACCGCTTGCAATCAATAGGATTAAATGGGAAGATGATTGACAGACCGAAGGACTCTCAATTAAGTGGACGATTCTCACGTACATGCTATCGTGTTAAATGAATACTCAAAAAGGTGACAGGTGCTCCTCGGTTAGTGCACACACATGGCACTCGAGTTGGAGAAATCAGATCGGGGATTAGTTGCTTCCCTATCAATGTGAAAACCCAAATATATATATATTATGTGTACCTATACGCTTATTTGTCTGATTATAACCAGACATTCGACAATTCTGATTCAATCCGATTAAAGTTATTAGATTTTATTCAATTCCTTGACTTTGATTCTTTTTGGGGATGTGTGGTGTGATTTGGAGGAAGTCTCTGTCAACTTGATATAGTAAATCTTGATAATAGGGACTCGTGCACTTGTCAAAAACATTGCTTAAGGATAGTGGATTCCTGTCAACAAAATTTCCAATCAATATAATATATATTTAATCTGATTCCAAGCCAAAGATCGAAGCAAATCTGATAAAGAAATTGATATTTTAAAAAATAACAATAATAAATTAAAATGTCATTGGTGAAATGACCAAGGACATGTGTGTATTACCTAAATTCACTAAATTATGGTACTAGGCAATAATTTATTAAGGCTACATTTTGTTAGGTATTATTAAGGGGGGATTTGTTTTATAGAAGAAATGATCATGATCATGAAATAGTTAAAAGATATTTTGACACCTTCCTAAGAAATTTGTAAAACAACATAAATTCACTTGGCTGTTGATGCATATTAAGAATATATATTATTTATAGAGTCTTAAACGACTGCTTTACTGCGTTACAAGATTCTTTTTTACAATTAAAACATCCTTCAACAATAATTTAAATAATTTAAACCCAATCCAAGAAAGATATAAAACATACATTTAATATTTATGTATAAAAGTTGGAACATTTAGTAGGTTTATATATTGCCTATATGTAGTCACAATTGTCAGATAAATCAAATGTTTATAAATCATTTCCTAGAAAATCAATTATCACATTTTACGTCACAAAAAAAAACCGAGTCTAAAGTTTCAAACAATAAGTATAGTATTTACCCAACAGTTCTCAGAAATTGTGTATTTATAAAAGTCTATCGGCAAATCAAATCAGATTCTGCTGCCTATCAAAAAAATGATAAACTTAATATTAATGCAATTGAATTTAAGTGAATTTTGGCAGACAGCTTAATGCGATTTGATTTCTATTGATTTTGTCATTACCAAGAAATTAAATTATCACACTTGACTGTCGTCACAATGATTCTACTTTGTCTGGCAGTTAAAATAGTTAATAAACAATACAGAATTTATGTGTGGAAAATAAAACAAATGTTTATAGTAGAGATTTTAAGCAGAATCATCAGGGGGAATACCTAAAGTATTAAATTAAGAAGCATCTTAAAGAAATACCCTAAACTCATATCATAACATATATCATGGTTATCAAGAAATTCAGCCACTGTCAAATTATAAATGTACTTGATATTATATATAGGTTTTTACCTCGATTGCTTGTCTTGCTTTTAAATAATTAATAATTGGTTAAATAAACAAGTTAACACTTGAGAACAAACGTACCTACCAAAGTTGGTAAATAGAGATAAAACGAGTTTGTGACCAATCAATGAATGAATGAACACAGCTTTAGACATGAATGAGTTCTGAAACTAGTTAGGAAAGTCAGTTTCCTATTTCTTTAAATAAATAAGAATAAATTGAATATATTAACTTAAAATATACTTTCTTTAAGCATAGTTAGCTAGTGCCATGAGATACAAAAGAATCCTAAGAAGACTTTGGTTTATACTTATAGAATTATGGCAAATTAACAACAAACCCTCTTTCATAAAAACACACCCATTAGTTAATGTTAAGATATTATCAGTACTGTTTTTTTTTATTTAAATAATATAATTATATCCAACTCGGGTTCCCTAATAAATTACTGCATATTGGTTAGAACTTCGCGGCTGGACAAGATTAGCATATTTCTCCTTCAGCTCGACCAGAGCTCGTTGGAAGCTCTCCATGCTGTTCTCCAGCTGATTAGGAACAGAGTGGACATTGGGTGGCAAAAGTGTCTCCGAGGGACGCTCACCCAGGAGCAGTATTCGTCGCCAGTCACTGGCATCGGAACTGCCACGGAGGAAGTCCTTGCGTCGATTACCCACAGCAAACACGGTCTCCTCGACATTCTCCGGAAGCAAGGTGGTCTGCTCACCCGGCGTGGGTTGAGTGGGCGCCGCAGGAGCAGCTGGTGGTGTAATCCCCGACAGAGATGCTGATGTGGGTGGTGGTGGTGGTGGAATTACAGACGCAGCTGCCGTGTTAGCTGGGGGTGCATCGAACAAATCACTGGGCAGATTCTGTGGCCGATCGATCTGCATCACCTGACCGTCGGGAGAGATGTGGAAGAACTGGGCACGACCCGTTAATCCCGTTCCCGTGCCACCGGGAATGACTATAATGTTGCCCACGGCAGTGGTCAAAGCAGAGGCGCCACCAAAGCCACCGTTTCCTCCAGCTTGTGTGGAAAATAATGGTGGAATGGGAACACCAGGTGGCGGTGGGAAAGCTCTCACTGGCGGAACAGCCGGACAGGGGAAGCAATATCCAGGAGGACCCGGTGGTCCCGGCAAGCCTCTAGGACCCGGAATAATCGGCAGATTCGGAGGGAAAGGACCAGTGGGCGGGTAACCCCAAAATCCTCCATTGCCTAGACTATTTCCTGGAGGACCTGGTGGTCCCGGCGGCCCTCGCTCACCCTTGGCACCAGGATCACAAGAGCATTTCACCAAGGATCCCTGGACGCTTGAACAGAAACCTGCAAGAAAGTTTTATTAATAAAGGATAAACAGGAAGCCAAAGAAAATGCTTACCCAAAAGAAAAAGGGCCAAAAGTCCACGAAAAACCATGATGTTCTTGGAAAATCACCTCAAAACAGACTGAGCAGAGCTCTCCGTGGAAAAGCTGCTTTTATAAGCTGAGAGAAGGAAACCTCACTCGCTGGACCAACATTTTTAATATGCATATAAACTAAACCAAATAATCTAAAGATCGAATTTGAATTCGACATTTTCCCGCATCTCGCACGTAACTGTTATTTCCCTTTTTATGAAGTCAACAACCGAAAGGGAAATGGTGTACAAGTGGAATGGAAAAACGCCATTCCATCTGACATTTATGTAAATTTATGCGACAAAACATATACACGACGATCATTAGGAACCGGCCAAGCCTTTAAACTGGGTCAGCAGGGTTCTGGAGTCAGCATGAGAGCATCTTTCGAAAAAACGCATCAAATGTCAATCAAGTCGTAAAACGCGATTAAATCAGATTATTTATGTCACTAAAGGTGGGCGCTAGCTATCAAACTGACACCCAGAGTTTTGGAAAATTATTTACCATTACAGAAATTCTAGAAATTCTAAAAATACCTTTACCGAAGCGCCGTTATAGTTCCAGTTGTAAAATTAGCATAAATTACGAAATCAATATGTTCTTAATCAGCTTTACGAAATGAAAAGGTTCTGCGACATTTCCGACTTATCTTAGAATTCCATTGACAAGACAAAGCCCCCCGAAAACACGCGTCATTAGCGGCACTCGTTCTAACTCTCTATAAAGTGGCCACTTCCAAACGAGCGCCATCGTCTTGAGTCAACTGGTGACATTGGACCACTCGAGTGCTTCAGATAAGTTGAAAAGTAAAACCGGACAGAGGAAGGCTAAGAGAAGCACTTGGGTTCCTTGAATACCCTTTTTAAATGGTTACTTACCATTGGGAAGGTGTATGTTTAAAGACGTTTTAAAGGGATTCCTGATTTGTGTTCAATAATACCTTTAAACATTGACTCTCAAGTTAGCAAGTTCCATTGCCCAGCCTCTGGTGACATGTAATGAATATGATAAGTATGTAAACATCACACCAGTTCCCTGAAACTTAAATATTGTGGCTAAATCTAGCCTTTTGAATAGTAAAATAACTATTTCCCTTAGTAAAAGATATTTTTAGTAGACTTATGCAACATTTGTAAGCTATTTTATCTCATAAATAGTTACAATGTAATGTTCTTTAAACTGAGACATACCCCTTTAAAAATGTTATCTAAAAACATTCTTATTTGATTTAAGATAAATTTTGATAAATACTTTAAGCACAGAAAGTAACTTTCAGAATATTTTTAGAACTGAAACCATGAAATTCAAAATATTGAAAGACTTATACTCTATTCCAGATCATCACAATTCTTTTAGTAAAAATTACTTTAATTTATTTTTCAAAGATATACAAGTTTTTGAAGTTCCCCCAAACTTTTCTAGGGTATACCCCATACTCTTTAAACTCTGCACAGATTAATCTAGTACGCAATAATCATAATTCAAGTACGTAAGCCCAAAAACTCACTATCAGTTATTGAATATATGTATACAAGAATCCAAAAAATTGGCTTTATCAATTGTGTTGTCATGGAATAATCCCAAAGTGTTTTCTTGGTGTTGTTCTGACTGTTGCTCACTACGTACTAAAATAAAAATAATAAGAATTAAAACAAGAAAATTGGCGATTGGCCCCCCTATAATAAATGAGCAATTGATTGCAACAAAACATTGTCAAGGAGGAGAAACCAATGAAATTGAAAAACAATTTGAGGGTCAATGTTACCGGGCGGATCAAGAGCTCTTGCTCACTTAACAGTTAACGATTAAGATGAAGGTGTGAAATCTACAAGAATGAAACATTTTGTTTGGTTTTTATATATTGAATTTTTATTATTAGATTATCGACTATGGCTAATCAGCACATTTCTTTGCATCGTACATAAAAACTTAATTGGCGCAAACAAGTTCAAGTCCCAAGTTTTTGTTGCAATTGCATAGATTGATAAGTTTTCTAGGCAAAACAATTCAAATCTAAATTTTTTTGATGTGTACGGGAGACATGCGTGCATATATTAATCGGTTAGAGTGATTTTCAGGAATTGTAAGAGAGTTAATAGGAACAAAGGGAGAACTACTTGAAATAATTGTTAGAAAATGTTAGGAAACAAGTGAATTTTAATATTGGAAAATGGAGATTCTAGTTTAAATATAAATGCAATCAACTTAGCTCTTAATTTACAAATCAATATGTTTATTTTATTGTTTTATAGAATTCGAATTCAAATTAATTGTCTTACAATTCCTAGAAGAAGCACGATTAAGGTTAAGCATATGCCTCGCCGTACACGTCGCTCAATTTGAAGATTAATCTTTGGTGCGAATACATTGGACTGGCATTCATTTTCACACCGAGAAGTGAGAAGAAACACAGATCAAATCAGATCAGATCAAATACGATGGAGGGTAGAGCAGAAAATAAAAGCGCAGAACTCAAAATCTACTAAATAATAAATACAATTGTAAATCGATTAGGATGATATACAGATCTGGGAAAGGGCAGGGCTCTTACTAGTCTATTTTCACATTGGAATAGATTTTTCGCACGAATAAATTCGTGCCCACATAGCCGACAGTGCCGCATATAATGCCTAGGGCGCCGCTAAAGAGAGCCATGTAGCCAAAGTAGAAGGCCGTTTGGAATAAACCAAACATTCTGTAAGAGTAAGTTTAGTATTATTCATTTTTGTCCAAACAAAATATTGTCTGTAATAAAACTTACTTGGTTTTAAAGAAGAAATAGTAAAATGAGTAGGCATAGACGTAAATGGACGTGGAGCCTGCTGCCATAAAACTCGTCCATTGCCATCGGTAGTCTTCTGCATTTAGCAGGAAATATGTGCACACAATGGTCACGCAAACAGTGACCACAGTCAGGATGCTGAATACCAGCAACATGAAGCCATAGACATAGTAGATTTTGTATGCCCAAAAAGAGGTGAAGATGAAGTACCTGTGGGGAAGAATTAAATCAAATTACATTATAAGTATTATATAAATTCATATAGGCCAAAGATCTATGCTTGTAAGAACCAATGCACTTTGATATAATCAAGCATTAACTTACATCTCAATGAAAATGGATCCAAATGGCAGGACGCCGCCCAGGAGCACAATAATCAGCGGCTCCATGTACCATTTCTTCTCGGGTATTGGTCGTGGAACTGCATTCACTCGACATGGGAAGTCCGGCTGGCCATCCAGATTGCGACCGACCACAGTGCCCACCAAAGTCAATGGCAGGATCACAAACAGACAGATGCAAGTCACCGCCACCATAGTGCCAAAGGGAATGGCCCTCGAAGCATGATAACCAATGGCAATGAAGTTGATCAGGAACGCAGTGCCACACACGGCCACTGGGACGGTAAAGGCGGATGTAAGCATCTGCCGGATCCACATTCGTCCACCCAGACGGGCATATAGAGATCCTCCAAAGTAACCATTGATGGGAGAGGTGGCAGCATAAACAAAGATCGCAGTGGACAGCATCGAGCCACGTTCAGTGTACAATTCACCGACAATGGCGAACATGATCACACAAAAGACCACGGAAATTAGTTGGTAACCAGCACCGACCAAGGCCGAAAAGAGCAAAGTATTGGGTGGCGAGCGGAAGACATCACCATGCACTTGCTTCCATCCATACTCATCGCCCAGATCTCGTTCCATATCGTCCACCTCCTCATCCTTACTGTAGCGGGCATAATCCTTGCGCAGGGTTCTCATTAGAATCATGGACACCAGGCCCACCAGGAAGATGACCATCATGAAGCTATTGAAAATGCTGAACCAGTGAATCTGTAAAGTATTTGAAACATAAGTTTTTAATATTTATGTTCTGATTTCTATGTTTTAAGTATCCATTCAGCATAACCCACTATTTATCTGAATGATTTTAATGATTTCACATTATCATTGAAATAAATCTTTTAGAGTTTATATTTATTCAAGCCACAACTCTCTGTCTTATAATTTTTCCTTATCGTGAAAACGATAATAAACCGTTCCCAGAACGGTGATACTAAAAGAACATACATTTTAGTTTAGTATTAGACTTTTGAGTCATCGATACATATTTTAAGTCGCGGTTACTCTAGGAAAATATTTCTTTAAGAGAAACTTTAAAATGTGATGCCTTACTTATCACCAAATAATTAAGATAAGTGGAAACTTTTGTGGTTGTAAAGATATGTTACACAAGAAGTAACAAACTTTGAAAAGCCTTAGTTGAGTTGAAAAGAAATCAATTTAACTATTAACAGGAAGAATGTGAATATTTTTCAGTATTAATTTTCATTCTGTACTTTAATGGACTTTGTGGAAAAGCTTCATGACTTAAAAAATGTTTAAAAATGTTTACAACTCGGATAAGAAGGAAATATGTTGTAAATTAAAACGGAAATAGCTGATTGTCCCGTCTCAAAATGTAGAACAACCATAACATAATGTGTTCCGATTAACCTCGTATCTACATTTACATTAACTGCAATAAAAAGAGTACTACTATCTGCAAAGTTTAATTCAGATAGTAAAAATCTTAGAGATTCGTACGGATATGGGTGACATCATCTCATGCTTAACTTGATGCTGATTAAGAATAGGCTCTTATAGTCCCCTTCACTGCATTGCTAACTTCTAACTTACATAAGAAAATAAAGCAAGGGTATAAGTCAAGAATTCATTGCCCACCCTTTAAATATTGGACTCAAATTGCTCACCCTGTGCTGGAAGAAGTTGGGATCCAGATACTTGTCAAATCGATTCTTGAACTCCACCTTGCTGGGCTTCCAGTTGACCTCGTACGAGAAGTTAATGTGAGCTCCCGCCTTGAGTTCCTCACGGCCATCCGTGGTGAGTGTAATGTCTACGATCTGCTGGCCATTATAGCCAATGTCGAATTTCTTGTGCGTAAAGATGTACCACTTGCCGTCGCGTTCGTCCCGCTCACCGACCTTGCCCCAAATGGGCAAGCCGTCGATGTACATCTGATACCAATACTCGTTCTTCACCGCATAAGTGAAGGCCTTGGTGCTATCCTCCTGCAACGCGACCATGCAGATGATGGTGCGTGGCGAGTCACTCTTGAACTCCATCTCATAGCCGCTGAACTCCAGCTCGACGCCTTGCAGCGCCTCGCTGAGTGTCTCGTGATAATGCGAGATCGAGGCCTTCTGGCCACTGCAGAAGGGCAGCGAGAAGTAGGCGTACGTCTCCTGCCGATTGTGGTACGGCCCGACCGTGTTCATCCACAGCACCACCTCTTCGCGGTCATTGTACTGCAATAAACATCTGTTTACAGGCCAAACTAAAGGCAAACCATGACAAAAGACCCACCTTGTGATTGTGCTCGTCCGCCTGCGACTGCGACACGTAGCAGCTGGCGATGAGCAGTAGACATAAACAAATGACACGACGGGTCTCCATCTTTTCCGGGTCGCGGATTGGTGCGCGGGGTCTCTCGAACGCCTGACCTTTTACCTGGGCGCTGATGGTGCTCTCGGTGTGCCGGCAGACAGGTGCGGTCCTTTGGTTGACCCCCAACAAGGCCTTTTCGGACGATTTTGTGGCAAACAAAAATTTGCCGACAGAAAAAAAATCATAGAGTTCTAGTACTGACACCTCCAGAGCAGTGTTGCCGTTTATTATGCTGAAATTGGTCACTGTATTTTCTTCTCCGCGGTAACTGGTCACACTCAAAGAATTAATATCGATGTCCTTATCGATACAATCGATATTATATAGAATCTTTTCTAACTGGTTTTTAAACTAAATAAATGTAATTAATTATTTGAAATCAGCTTTAATTCCTGCTAACTGGGTCAGCCATTTTACAATTTTTTCACATAAATGCTTTCAAAATCAGTGCTGAAAAAGTCTGTTTAGTAGGCAGAACAATAAGCATTATATTTTAAAGATTTAGCCAGCTATCATAAGGAAACAATGCATTATACAAAGCAATGTTCTTTATAAAATAATTAATTATAAAGGACTTTGATTTCCCATTACGATTCCAAGAAACCAATACGCATATAGTAAACATATAATATAAATCTAGATTCGTTTTATTAATTGTACAAATTGTAATTCAGAAAACTTTGAACTTATAGAAGGATTATCCGATGTTTAACCCAACCTAGTAGCGGTCATCATCGATGCCTTATTTTCTTGTTTATGTGACCGCTTTTCTTTGCCGTCGCACTGGAGCTGGTGGAAAGTTTGCTCTTTGTATTGGATGTGGGCGTTCCAAGCACATCTTTGTTGGTGGAACTGGGTGTAACATTGCTTCCGGGGACACCAACTCCTCCTCCGATGGTACCAAGGCTTCCCTCATTGCGATGCGAGGGGGAATCTAAAAGGGAATATATTACTTATGTATTGAAATTACAGAATATACTGGTGTACATACGTTTAGAGCGTTTTATAAACTAATTATTCGGCTTGAAAGCTTCTCTCTAATATGTTTTGTTACAAAATAAAATAATTTTTGGGGCTTACTAAGGGTGTCAATTGTTTTTTGTATATTTTTTTGAACAAACGGTATACTTTTGAAAGGCACAGTCTAATTTATCACATATTTTGTTCAGTATTGAAAATCTTATGAAAGTAATTATGTTATGACAAAGTATTAGTTTTTATCGTGTTAACATTTCCATATTATTTTTGTATATCACATTTCTATACGTATTCAGTTTCTTGAAAGTTCTTATATAAGATTCCAATGTCTTCCACTTTAATATACTTGATCTACTTCTTCTCCGTGTCCAACTTCTACCTTACCCTTTTCATCTTTAGGAGTGCTCTTGATTGTCGTGGCTCCATCGTGTGCTGTGGTGGTGTTTTGGTTGATGGACATCTGATTGTCGCTGGAGTCTTCATTGGTAATGGAATCGGATTCGCTTGCGCGCTCAGCTATAAAAAATAGATTGATTTCATTAATTATTAAAAGATCAACACAAGATAGATCCATATGACTGTCAATATAACTTGTAAGAGTTACTTTACGCCTCAAAGAGCCAATTCCTTCACTTACGATTACATATTGCCATGGAGGTAATGCTGGACTTGGAGAATAGGCGCTCCGCCTCCTTGAACTTGCGATTCCGTTTGTCTGCCTTCGAGTTGGTGGCCTTGTTGGACGTCAGGTAGCGCTCCCAGCCGCGTATGATGTTGCCGCACAGTTGTGTGTCCTCCAGATACGAGCCCTCGAAGGCGTAGATCTGTCGCTCCAGGTTGGCAAGTTGCTCCTTTTGGTCGTACCAAAAACAAAAAAAACCCATGATATAATGCCGCGCTTTCTGGTTTGTTTATATTTGTGTCTCACCGAGGTTTCAGCCTTCTTCTTGATGAGGTCCGCCAGCTCGGCACGTGTGTCCATCGTGCCGCTCTTTGCATTCGAATTGGTTTTCCCTGACTTCTTTGGCTTGTTTCCATTTGTTTCACTCACATTTTTACTCGTTGGCGAGCTCATTTTGCTTTAATTTGTTGAAATTCCCTTAATTTCGTCAAAAGTGAGCTATAGCAATAGAGATGGGAGATGCCGATAGTGTGACCGTGCCTTGAGCTATACGATATTTTAAAAATATACCAAAAACTACTAACTAAAACAACTTTCAAAATTGGAACTTATTAAATTAGAATTTAATTATTTAAATAATCAGTTTATTTGAAAATAAATTTAATAACTCCTTAAGCTATTTGCAGCTTGATATTTAATTAATTACTTTTAGAAAAAAAATAAATTGTTGTTTGTCATTTATATACAAATTTTTATTTATTGTGAACAAGAATTTAAACGCTATACTAGCATTTTAATTTATTTATGACTTTTATTAGTAAATAAATACCAAAAAGTGTTATATTCTTGTTATACAATGTACCGTATTAGCGATGGGAGCAATGCAACATTTTCGTTTCAAATATTTGGTTTACATATTTGACTGTATAGGTGGCGTTGTAGTTGTGTTGTACTGTTGCAGAGCTGTATTGTGTAAAGAGCCATCTATGTAAAGTTATAGAAAACTGAAGTTAACCAAAGAAACAGCATTTGAACACTTTTGAAAATTTTAAAAATTTTGATAACTTGTGCGATTTAGCCAGCAACTATTGACTAAGTTCAACAACCACAATTACAAATTTTAATAGCTGTATATGATTTTCCCTGCTGATATAGAACAAGCAACTATATTACAGAGTTTCCCTTGGCGGGGTTTTTACATTCATTTTAAAGCCGGTGCCGCTGCCAATGACCTCGCCTCTTGTTATTCTTTTTTTATTATTTATGCGCGTCTTTGGCCCCAAACAATAGATTCGGTTCGGCTCCACGACCATCATAGAGGCGATGATCGCCTAATGATCTCGCGGCGGCTTGCTTAGTTTATTGACCCAAAGCTTGCCGCAAAGAGTGCGTTGAACTGCCGAAAAAAAAGTGAAGCTACCGTTCTGGGGCTCTCTATTTCTTTGCCTCACCTTTAAGCGCCCCCTTTCTCTTTTCGTTTTCCTTTTCCGACCGCCTTTCGCTCTCTTACCATTCCCGCTCTTTCTCTTTTACTTTGCCTTTTTATGGGCCTCACTTTCGTCATACGCGGCGTATGCGTGATTTTATTTTTTCCAGAGAATCGCCAATGAAAAGTAATCGCCGCATCGAAGCTGCCCCCGAAGAAGACGAACTCGCTTAGAAAATGAAATCACAAAATGGCAACGACCGTTGCAAGACAAAGTCTGCTGCCACGTTCCACTAACACGAGCGACTAGGCCGCCGCCTCACCGACTAACTGATCAATTGACTAACTGTCCGAGTGACTAACTGACTGATTGACTGACTGCCGACTTCTATGTATGTCAAACATTGGCGCGCACGCGCTCGCGCATTCGCAAAAAAAAAACAACAACAAAACAACAAAAAGTGCAGCAAAAAAACAAAAAACTTTCATTTTATTTAAACAAACACACAAGGCGCGGTCTGGGCTTGGACTTGGTCTTGGAAAAACTTATTTTCATTTGGTTTTAAGCAAACATCTTCCAACTGAAAACTCCACAGTCCGATCCTCATTGGACGTCTTCTTCTGGGTTTTGCACTGCAAAAAATTAAGGTCTACTTTTTAGTACATAATTTAGAAATTTTTAATTTGAAAATTCAAAGCAGGAAACAATAATATTATTAGTTCAAGATGTCTTAATATGTCTAATAAAACATAATAATAAGTGTTTATTAGTGTTTATTTGATTTTTGAAATTGTTTCCTACTTAATCTAGTTATTTAAAATGTAACAATCTTCATTATTTAACAACCTTCATTAAGTTTGAAGCAATCTTCTTGAATTATTCTTTACATGGTTTTTGATTTGATTTTTGATTGAAGTATTTCATAATATTTAATTAGGTAATTTAAGAATACCGCTAAACCAACGGTTAAAAGATAAATACAAAAATTCTAACTTAATAATTAATATATAAATAAATATAAATACTTATTAAATAATTAATGAGTATTACAATTCACATTTAAACATATTTTTGTTTTTAGCAAGAGAGAAGCATTGGTTTAAGCTATATATTTTCTTTTAACTATTTAATATCAATATCAAACCCTTTCCTGTTTAAAGAACATAGTTAAATATTTAATTTTTTTTATTAATCTATGTTCCTACTACCTATTTTCTGTCAGTGTCGCCAATTGATGGCAGTTTACAATAATTTTATGATGAATTGCTTGGCCGCGTGTGAAATCTGCTGCAGCGGTTGCAAAGCCAGGCACTGGCCGCTGGAAAGTGGAAAACTGCCAGAAAAGTGGAACACAGCTAAAGAAGCAGCAACAATTGCAGCAACAACTTGCAGCAAGTGCAACAACAACAGCGTCTGCAGCAGCAGCAGCAGCAGCAACAACACAAACACTCTCGACTAATTAGCTGCGTTTTAGAAATTCAGGCGGCAATGAAAACAAAATCGAGTTCAATGCTTGCAACGATGACGCTGTTGTTGCTCTCGGTATGTTTTCGACTTTTCCGAGAATTTCATATACTTATACATACATACATAAATATATGTGGCGCTTTCCCAACGCCAATCGAGTGAAAATGAGTCTGCTTCGATTTGGGCAGCTAAAGAAAACTGCAAAAAGAAAGGAAAAAGGTGTCGAAAATGGAATAACAATGAGACAAATCTTAAGTAAAATTAATATTATTGTATGTAATTATTTATTTATCATGGAAGAATAGGATTTGTAAATTAAATTTAATTACTTTTCTAAATAGAACTAATTAAAGAGGGGAATTGAGAAGAATGTTTTAAATAAGAATACTTAAAGTTTTCAAAGACTTAAAATGCATTGAAATATTTGTTAATTTCAACTATATTATCAAAATTTTTAAATTATACTAGCACATTAATTCATAAGATAAGATAAATGTTTTTCTATTTTAAATAATTGGTAACTTTATATAGTAAATATTTGAAAATTAACCCATTAAATAATTTTCAAGAAGAAAATCCATATATAACTTATTTTAAGTATATTTTACAATTATTTATTAAAATATATATATAAAAAACACATTTGAGAAACACATTTTTTCTTAAAAGCAAGAAAATAATGCATCTACTTATTTAAAGATAACAAAATAAGGATTTCG